ATATTAATTGTAATAGAAGAATAATTATTAATTATAAACAATATTTTCCGTGAAATCGTTTCGAATTTTGAGCTTAGAGATATAGAATCTTTTCTAAGTCTTTTATGCAAGCATATATTTAGAAATTATTTTCAAAGCTTATTCATAGTTATCACCTTTATATCAGGTGAACTGAAAAAAATTTCAAAAATTGTACATGATTAGAGCTGTTGTGAAAGTGATTAGCTGTATCTAACAAATATTAAAAACAAATCTCTTCATTTTGATGTACGAGACACAGATGGCGTTGGCTGTCATTGAAGTAGGAAGAAAAAAAGGGTTTTCCCCTTGCGACCTCGTGACGTGAGCTGATTAAGTGTGTAATAACTTTCGGGGCCAGAAAAATTTCCCGACAATTGTTAAAAAATGTATATATTTTGTAGTATAGAGAGAATATAATTAGATAAATCAACATATTAGAGTTTTTATTACAGATTCAACATCACACTACCCAGGTAAGTGAGCAAGTTTTGTCTTTAGTTTTTCTGGATTGCTCGGTATCTGGGATGAGTGAAGGAAGTATTTTTATTTTAATGATATTTAATGATAAGACTATGTTTTAGTAATAACAAAAAGTGGCGTCCCGTGACAGGACTCTTAAGAAATAAACTTTAAAAAAAATATTTTAATGGTTATAGATAGTTTTTTGATGTATTAAAGTATAATTAAGTTTAAATTCGAAACTATTTTTTTTGTAAAGCAGTTTGTTTTATTTTGAAAGTTAACTATGGAAGCTTTAAAGGCTCTGAAACTTAAACGGGCAGGTTTACGCACTTCTTTTGCAAAAACTGCTAATATTTTAAAAACGGAATTAGTAAAAGAAGATTTTTCTGTAGATTTAGTACGAGATAAACTTACTAAACTACAAAATGTATATTCAGATATAAAAAATGTAGATGATAAAATTCTTGATTTGTTGAAGACGGGAAAACTTTAGAGAAATGACAAATTAGCTGCAAACTTGTAGACGTAGTTAATGACGGAAAGTACTGTCAAAACATAAAGAGAGTACTTTAGAGAGAGTCATTAAACTGATGTTACTAAAGAAATCGAAAGTCGCGAGGTGTATTCTGATGATTTCATAACACTAACTCGGCAAATTAATGAAAAATTGCAATTTTCAGATGAAATCAATTTAGAAACAAGACCAAATGATGGTGCTGGTATTTGTTGTAGTAAGATTAAACAGTATAGACTTCCGAAAATCGAACTTAAGAAGTTTGATGGGGAATTGATAAATTGGTTACCGTTTTGGTCGCAGTTTGAGAAAATTCACACTGACCCTGATTTATATGAAAGTGACAAATTTTCCTATTTGATTCAGTGTATGAAGCCCGGATCACGTGCTAAAGAATTCATTGAAAGCTATCCGGTGACTTCGGAAAATTATGATAAAGCTGTTTTTAGCTTTGAAGGAACGTTTTGGGAAACCTGAATTATTAGTAGAAGTGTATGTTAGGGAACTAATTAAATTAATTGTTTCTAATGTGAAGGCAGATCAAAAGGATAAATTACCTCTTGATAAACTGTATGATAAAATTGAAGCTCAGTTGAGAGCCTTAGAGTCTTTAGGTCTTAAATCGAGCGAAAACACATCGTGGTTATTTCCGATGGTGGAATCGTGTCTCACAGAGGATGTTTTTAAAGGCGTGGCAAAGGAGTTCGCTCTTTAACCAGCCTGAAGGAACTGATCTTTCTCGCCTTACCAACTTAATGAAATTTTTAAAGTCTGAAGTGGAGGGTGAGGAGAGATTAAAATTGGCGCGTAATGGACTCGATGGTGTTAGTCGTAAAGAAGGATATCATGATAAAGCAAAGAGGGAAACAAAAGGTAAATTTAAATTTAAGAAACAGGGAAATGTTCCCACTGCCACAGGTTTTCTTACAACCAGAGAACATGCATGTATTTTTTGTGGTAAAATGCATGATAGTAAAAATTGTTACGATGCGCGTTCATTATCTCTTAATGAAAGGATTTCTAAAGTTAAGGAGAAAAAATGCTGTTTAAAATGCTTGGAACCAAATCATATGGCAAAGTTCTGTAAACAGTTTGTTAGGTGTTTTGCTTGTGGTAAATCACACTCAGTTATTTTGTGTCCGGACATTAATAATGAAACTGAACTTCCTACAGAAAAATCAGAAATAGACAACATACATACGGCTACAGCCAGGCAAACTTGTACCGCTGACGTAGCTTTAATGACTTTACGCGTAAGAGTAGCTGGTGTCAAAAAGCATAAAGATGTTAGAGTACTCTTAGATTGTGGTTCCCAGAAATCGTATATTTTGAAATCATTAGCCACTGAATTGGGGTTACCAATTATTTCCAAAGAAAATGTTGCTCTTACTTTATTTGGAGGTGCCAGAACAGAGGCAAAGATGCATAACAAATATTTGGTAAAATTATGTTCAGCCAGTCCGCGTAAGTATTCAGATCTAGAATTTGAATTTTTAGATCAAGACATAATATGTGGGGATATACCTCGGGTACCCAAGGGTCCAATATTAAAAGAATTACAACGAAACAACATTTGGTTGTCGGATCTGGGAGCAGATTGTCCAAAAATAGAAATGCTCATAGGTAGTGATATTTATGGAAAAATTCTCACGGGATCAGTAAAACAATTAAAAGGAGGACTAACAGCAGCTTGTACAAAACTTGGTTGGACAGTTTGTGGTGTATCGGAGGAATTTGTTAATCACAAAGATGCTTCCATTTTGTGTGCAAGTTTAGTGGGTCACGACTTTAAAATCTCCGATCTTTGGAGTTTAGAAACGATCGGAATATTAGATGCTCACCAGAATTCAACTAACGCTGCTGAGGAAGAAATTGCCCACGAACAATTTTTAAACTCTCTTTCCAGAAACGAAGATGGTCGTTATTGTGTCGGATTACCTTGGTTAGTATATAACGCAGAATTGCCATCAAATCGTCATGTAGCAGAAAAAAGATTGTTCAGTGTCACCCGAAAACTCAAGTCTTTACATAAATATGAAGAATATGATAGAATTTTTAATGAATGGATGGAGGAGGGTGTAATTGAAATAGTACCAGACAATGAACTGAATTATAAAGGGCACTACTTACCGCATCACCCAGTATTTAAACCAGACAGTGTCTCAACTAAGATAAGACCTGTTTTTGACGCATCATGTAAAGTTAATAGATCGCCCTCCCTTAATGATTACTTAGTAAAAGGACCAAATTTAATAGAAGAAATCCCTTCAATTTTGTTAAGATTTAGAGAAAAATGCATTGGCGTAACCTCTGATATCCGGCGTGCATTTTTACAGATTGAATTACGGAAAGAAGATAGGGACTTTTTAAGATTTTTATGGTGGGAGAAAGATAATGTACTGAAGGTTTTCCGCCATACGAGGGTAGTTTTTTGGAGTAAAGTCTAGCCCTTTTCTATTAGGAGCGGTTATTTCAGTTCATTTGGCACAAGTACCAAAGGAACAAAGTTCTATTGCTCAGAAATTAAATAAATCCTTTTATATTGATAATTGTGTGACTTCTGTTGATAACGAAAAGGAGCTTGTGAATTTTGTGAAATCTTCTACTGAAATATTAGCTGAAGCAAAAATGGACTTACGTATGTGGACCTATGGCCCAGTAGAAAAAGATGTGGAACTAACCCAAAGTACTTTGTGCACTGAGTCCACAATGGAGAATTCTGTACCAGTTTTAGGAATTATGTGGGACAGAATAGAAGATAACCTTTATATTGAAATTAAGACTGTATTGGTTTCGGATAATTTGTCTAAAAGAGAGGTTTTGTCAGTAACGCAGACAATGTTTGATCCTTTGGGTTTCTTGACACCTGTTTTTATTGCCTGCAAAGTTACTGCTACAGGAAATTTGGGCGATAAAAGCAGACTGGGATACTCCATTACCAGATAGTATCAAAAGTAAATTTTCGAGGTGGTATAATAAATTACAAATTTTGAATAAGTTGAGAATACCGCGACGTATAGGTTTTGGAGATAGAAGTTCCTGGACACTTCATGTATTTTGTGATGCTAGCCAGCATGCTTATGCCACGGTAATATTTTTGAGATGCGAAACTAAAGAAGAAACATTAGTCAGTTTTGTAATGGCTAAGTCAAGAGTCGCACCCTTAAAAGAACTTACTATTCCCCGTCTAGAACTTATGGCCTGTCTTTTGGGCGTGCGTCTTTCCAAATATGTGACAGAAGCTCTTACATTGGATGACATCCCGAAATATTTTTGGACCGATTCCACCACGGCCATATCTTGGATTCAAAGAAATGATGCGTGGGGGACTTTTGTGGGCAATCGCGTGAAGGAAATTTGCGCTTTCACTAAAGCAAATCAGTGGTCATATGTACAGGGTCATTCTAACCCAGCTGATTTACCTTCTCGTGGTTGTTCCCCTCTTCAGTTTTTCGAATTAAATTGGTGGAGAGGGCCTGTTTGGCTCAAAGACCCTAGAGATAGCTGGCCAAAATTAGAGGTTAAGCCAAATGAAACTTTAGTTTTTTTCAGAGCGCAGGAAAGGCATAAATTTAAATGTAAATCTTAGTATAACTACAAAAGCGGATAAAGTTAAGTGGTGTGAGAAGTTCTCTAAATTTTCAAAAATGTTAAGAGTTTTAGGTTGGATAAAGAGATTTATCAAAAATTGTCAAAAGAAAATTGTAAATAAAGAGCCTTTTCTGTCTGCTTCCGAGATAAAGGAATCTAAAATTATACTTCTTTCACTTGTTCAGGGGGAGAGTTTTCCAGAGACTGGAGACTCCATCAATGGTCTTTTGACCGTACGAGATCAGAGTGGCTTAAGAAGAGTAAAAACGAAAATCACCGAACGAGATGATTCTTATGCATTCCGGTACCCGATTTTATTACCTTCTAAGCATTATATTGTTGACTGTTTAATTAGAGATTACCATTTAAAGCATTCTCATGCCGGCGTACAAGCATTAACTGTTATAATTAGAGAAGAATTCTGGATCATTGGTGCAAGACGCCGAATTAGATCGGTGGTGAAACAGTGCGTCCGTTGTAAACGATTTTCAGCAAAACCTCCAACTACTGCACCCATTCAATTACCATTAGACAGAGTTCGAGATGCTTTCGCATTTGAAGTTACCGGCATAGATTTATGTGGCCCTCTGATTCTCAAAAATAAAAACAAAACCTGGGTAGTACTGTTTACGTGTGCTGTATATAGATGTGTACATTTGGAACTAGTGACATCCGTAAGTACCGAATGCTTCATTCAAGCGTTTCGTCGTCGGTTCATAGCCAGAAGAGGTCGGCCATCTACAGTTTATTCAGACAACGGCACAAATTTCGTCGGTACATCTGCATTGCTGAAAAAGGTTGACTGGGTAAAGGTAATTGCTCAGGAAACTTTGCATCCCATCACTTGGAAGTTCATTCCGCCCACTGCTGCTTGGTGGGGCGGATGGTGGGAGCGTCTAATTAATCCGCACAGCCAAGAATTTGATTGTGAGAGTCTTAGGACAAGCTGCAGTCAATTACGAAGAGTTACTCACCGTCATCTGTGATGTGGAAGCCGTAATAAACTGTCGACCACTAACTTATGTGTCAAATGACTCTGAGGATCTTCTACCATTAACGCCTTCCATGTTCTTACAGGACATTAAGGTTTCAGGTACAGCAGATTTGGATGCTTTAGATCGAAATAAACTCTTGGCTCGTCAGCGTTTCTGCCAGGAACTTCGAGAACAATTTCGTAGCCGTTTCCGCAAGGAGTACCTTGGACAGTTAGTACAAAAGCATGGACAGACGGACTGTGAATTAAAAGTTGGAGACATCGTGCTAATAGGTTGTGAGAACCTTAAAAGAGTGAACTGGCCAATTGCTCGTGTCCAAGAACTTTGTACAAGCAGAGATGGACGTGTAAGAGTTGTAAAAGTGAAAACTAGAAATGGCATACTGATTCGTCCTGTACGTAAACTGTACCCTCTAGAAGTGTGTTCCTGTACTAAGGATACCATTATTTGATTTTTGATTTTCCTTCTAAAAATCAAAAAGGTGGGAGTGTTGTGAAACTGATTAGCTGTATCTAACAAATATTAAAAACAAATCTCTTCATTTTGATGTACGAGACACAGATGGCGTTGGCTGTCATTGAAGTAGGAAAGAAAAAGGGTTTTTTCCCCTTTGGGGGGGCGACCTCGTGACGTGAACTGATTAAGTGTGTAATAACTTTCGGGGCCAGAAAAATTTCCCGACAATTGTTAAAAAATGTATATATTTTGTAGTATAGAGAGAATATAATTAGATAAATCAACATATTAGAGTTTTTATTACAGATTCAACATCACACTACCCAGGTAAGTGAGCAAGTTTTGTCTTTAGTTTTTCTGGATTGCTCGGTATCTGGGATGAGTGAAGGAAGTATTTTTATTTTAATGATATTTAATGATAAGACTATGTTTTAGTAATAACAAGAGCAGTTTTCAAATAGTCCTCTAATACATGAATGCAACTTGAGTGTTCGTTCACTCTAAATTATTTTATGTAATCTTACTTTGTTAACCTGTGAAAGCCATGCATGCGAACTGCATTTTTATTAACGACGATGCAATAACACTTTAAAATACGCTTTTTACTCTTTTATCGCACGTTTTTACTCTTTTATGGAGAGATAAAAATATCGCACTCCTTGTACGATTTAAAATAAACTTCCGGGCTTAAAACTCCATTGAAGAGAAGACCTTTCGGCAGGCATTCATTTTTCAGGCAATTATACCTAACTGTTACTCTGAATTTAGGATTTTATTTTCAAAATATCTGTCTTTGAAGTGGTCTTTGGTGACATAAGCTCCATAAATGACTCGTGTAATGAATTCTATGTTAGTAATCTTTTAACGGCAAAACTTTGCAAGATATTTTTGTGGTGCAATAATGGTCAAAATATCAAGGTTAACCCATTATGCAGGCAAAATAAAAGCTATGGTCACTTATGGTTAAGTCACTCAATATTAAATTTAATTATTCGGCAAGCGCAGTCAGTTTTTAAACTGACAAGATTCTAGATTATTAATTTTTCAACATGATTTAAACACGTCTCATACCTTTACAAAATAATTTACACAGCATTTTACAAGTCAGATCTAATTATTTTTCTAATAATCTAATAATTCTGAATCGCACTAAATTAGTGAATTCAAAATTTAATATCTATTTAGAGTTTACTTAAAACAAAATGCTATTTTTTAATTTGCAGGGAACAGTTTGACTCCCCCTTAGATGAAAGCAAGAGTTATTTTGCTTCTGGAATCCTTGCCGGAGAATACAATTTCAGTTGTACAGTGATATATACTGAGAAACATGTACGGGGTAGCTAGCTTCTTATAACCAAATTTTTAGTAAAATGTGACGCAATTACAATAACATTAAGCAAAAGTAGTGACTGGCAAAAGTAGTGATTTGCAAAAGTAATGATTAAACGTAGCGATTGACAAAGACTGATTTGGGCAAAGTCTTTTCTTCTTCAAGAAACTGAAAAAGAAACTCTGGAACAGTTTGAAAACCTAGTGGCACGACAGATATTTTCTATTGAAATAAAATATAATTATATTAAAATTGTGCAAAACGAAAAGGGCAATCATTTGAATGGACCATATAATCGCTACCAACTATGAAATAAGTTTAACACGAGTTTTCATCACAACCAAGACTGCTGAAATATGTATGAATAGGGTTCTTGTTAGACTGCCTTAAAAATCTTTAAACTTATTTCTGCGTAATACTCTTAAAATGGAAGCCACAAATACAAGCTTTAAAGTCCATATATAAAGATATCTATCATTATGCTATATGTGCTTTTGTGGAGAAAGTAGCTGTATTCTCTTGCTTTAAAATAGGCACTTCAAGGTCGTAACGACCCTACCCTCATTTACGATAGTAATGTATGTCATCATCACCACACAAACTGAATTAGGAAAGCACTCGCCTTGCCATTATGAGTTATGAGAATAGTCAGATGGGAAAATGACATTGAAATATTGAAATGTCTATTATAATGTAATAGATTATAGTAGTCGGAAGATCTGTAGTTCGAGTCATAGCGAGGTAGTTTATTCGTCACGCTTGTTGCTCCAGGTGACCTAATGTCTGAGAATCAGTGCCGTGATAAAGATGTGGAGGACGATAATTCGTCACCACATGTGTTTAATCGACTGAGCCTCATGCCTTTTTCCAGTTGCCTTTTGAATGGGGAAGACGATAAGGAATTGGCTCAATTACTTCTGCAGTCTCTTGAGATGTAAATCGAGGTAACAACTGATAGATCTTTGGTTCAAATCTTTCCGAGGACATAGCTGATTTTCACGTCCTTGCCAAGGATATAATTGGTTTTCACGTTTCCTGCTGTGAACGATTTAATGCCTATTTATGTCAAATGCTAATATTACAATGCAGTTCAGTCATTATATTAGTAGACGTCCGTTTTCTCTTCTTGCTTCTCAAGAATAGTTTGATTCCCAATTTTTAGAAACTGTTTGAAAAAATATCAAATATTAAAAAGCAAAAATTACTTTGTCCAATTATTATAGCTCTTTCAAACAAAATCAAGACAAATATTTTTAAATTATTTAGAATGATTTGCTTGCATTTTACAGCATCCTGTGAGAGTTCCCAGAGAAGCATTAAAAATATACAAATGGCTTTAGACCGCTTTCCTCTGCGTGCATTCAATGTCACAGAGGAAAGCAGCTCTTTTCAAACGCATTGCGCCACAGAGAGAAGAAAATAAATAAAACGCATTCATTGGCACATTTCACAAAATACTCGTATGGGTATGTATTAAGGGTGCCGTGTTCTTTCCTTTAGCTGTCGGATTAAATTCGACATCCCACGTGACATTTCTCTGACGAAGCAAGACACAGGCATGTGCCTTCCTTAAGGTAAGGCGACTAGGTGTACTGCATTCTGACTCGACAGAAATCTGAAGCAGAATACAAGAACATTGCTGTGGAGCTTAGCTGTCGACATCTTATCCGTTTTTTCTTTCTAATGTTAATAAAAGTTCCTTTAAAACAACATTTGATTTAAAGATGATTATTTACCGAGCAAAATTTGTATGCTTTTGAATGTTCTTCACAATGCTTTGGTACTTACTCCATTAAAATACAATGTAAAGAGTAACAAAATTTAAATGCTTTAAAAAAAAAAACTCGGCAACATGGAGAAAATAAAAGCTCTCAACAACTTTATGCTTTTTATCAAGGAAAAATATTACAAAGAATTTGCGCATATTTCTTCCAGTTAATGTAACACGGATTCCTAAATGACTTTAATGCAATCCTTTCGTGTCCTTAAACAGATTGTACGGGTTCCGTGTCTTGGAATGAAAACGGATAAAGAATATTATTTTATCAATAGATGTTATTGAACTCAAGATCGAAATTTGGAGCAATCGCCGTTGGGATTGAATGATAGACCTTCTAATTCCGCTTACTGTGATATAATATGTTTAATCAAGAATATTTCTAAAATATAAGAGAATAAGGGCATAAAATATATAAGCCGGAAATAATCTATATATTGAGTACAATCTGCGTGTTTCATTTCTCAAAATAATACCACCTATTAATTTACTTTTTGATTCTGAACAATAAAGGTCGCTTTAAATTACTAAATATTAAAATGCGAACTAGCAAAGCAAAAATTTATTTCATATTAATGTTTCAAAAGCTAAGGATTACAGTGTTAAATGCGTGATTTTCTACCGTTTCTAAGGTTTAGGCAACTGGCCTTTGCATATCAGTTCTTAGAATAAAAATGTAAAAAATATTAAAACGCATTTATCAGAGAGTTAACTCTGAAGTAACATAAATAACTATTATTCAACTTTAGCCAATTATTCAATTTCCAACTTTTAAACTTCACCTAGCAACTTTAGCAACACTGGATTTGGTCGACTGGTATTCGTTAGTTTCCCCAGACGTCCTTTAAAAGGGAGATAATCGAAAAAAATCGCATTTCTTGCAAAGCTTTTCACGGTGTAAGCAGCAGCACATTCAGCTAACAATTGCAAAAATATGTGATTTAAATCGCAGAGAGAGCACACTTGTTGCTCAGAAATACGTATTAGTGTGTAGAAGCTAAACATTTAGCTTTCCTTAACTTAATCTTACAAATTAATAATTGTAATTTGGATATATTGTTTTTTCAACTAATTGTTACAAGCACCTCTTGAAGTTTCTTAAAAGGGCTTATTATTAAAATTTCAATATTCATTACAATTTATATATTTAAAGTGTTCTTCAGTTTATAATTAATATGAAGTTGAACCTCAAATTTAGTAACACATAACAACTGCAAAAGAAATGTATTTCTTTTTGATTTATTTTAAATCTGTAAGTGTAACAGATGGCGTGAGTCATTCTTAAAACATAGCTTTTGCTGTAGGTTACGTAAAGCGGGAATCACCCAAAAAAGAAACATTCTTTACCCTTTTTTACAGATCATGTGACTAAATGAACATTCGTTAGGACTTGAACTTTTCTCGCGAACAATGTAGTTTACAAAATCT